TTATGCTTAACCTACTTCTTGTCCCTCCATATAACTGCTTGATTCTGTTCTTTAAATTGTTGGATATTTTTCCATCCTCCATCATTTCGCTGCCCTTAGATCCATGGGAAATGCTATCACCTTTCGGCCTTTTTTTTCTAGTTTCTTTTCCACTACTCGGTAATACATATACACAGTCGATCGTTCTCATCCTTTTTCTAAATCCCATTTACGTTTCCTCCAGCATGCTTTTCTCTGCCATTTCTCTTTCTAATCTTCAATTTAACACCATTGATTCCCCTATAATTTTCCATACAGTCCTTGTCGCCTCTTTTGTAAATCTGCAATATTACCCCTTCTTTTCTTCTCAATACTATTTGTAGCAAAAATCCATACTTCATTTCTTATTTTGTCCCTCCCTGGTCCCTGCCCTTTTCCTTTTTTCAGTCTTTTTGATTGTTGCTCCATCTTTTCTCTCGTCTCCTCCACCTCTTCCCCTCCCTCTTCCCCATCCCACACTCTCTCCCATCCTTCCCTTGTAATACCTTCATAAAGTGTTGCTATATTTGTATATCTCTCCCATTAAATGTGTTTTTCCCTTTTCCTCTGTTTGTCAGCTTCCAAAAGTCCTCTGTTTTTATTTCCCCGATTTCTTCTTCAATTCTTCCTGTTTTTTGATCTTTTTTTCCCTACATATTCTTTTGCACTTTTCTCCTTTTCTCTTCTATCTCTCCCTTTGTTTCTCTCTTCATGATTGCTTTCTGTGTCTGTTTCTCTCTTCTGTACACTCTCTGCACCATCACGCCTTTCTTTTATATCTCGCTTCCTCTTCCTTTTTAAGACACAAGAGATGCATCCCGCCCGAGATGACAGAACTAGGGCTGGGCGATTACGGGTTTGAATAATCGATGATCGATTATGAAAAATAATCGATTACACTGATTAATCGATTAATCAAATAATCGATTAATCAAATAATCGTTTAATCAAATAATCGATTAATCAAATCATCGATTAATCAAATAATCGATTAATCACCTAATCGTTTAATCAAAAGTCGATTGTCACATACAAGGAGTGATAAATATCTGTTTCTATGCATTAATACGTTAATTATTTAATAATAAAAAATAATTCCATTACTCTTTTCATCAAATCGTTCATTACTAGGCAGATCGATTAATCAATAATCAACAAAGTGTCCCTGGTTCGAATCCGGGTTCGGGCATGGATATTTGCAAATGCATAGTGGGTTGGTTGGTAGAACAGCCTTGGCTGAAACCCTGCCCATTTGAAAATGAAGGTCAAAAATAAAAATAAATAAATAAAAATAAATGATTAGGCAGCTTACTCTCCGATGAGGTGTGCTTTAGTTTTGATGATACAATCTTAATTCATTTTAGCTGCTTAAAGTGACGTTTTAACATCCGCTATAAAATAAAATAATACTTGTGAGCTGTGAGTGCTCCTTTTTGCGTAAACTGATGATCCAGCTAATAATAATCAATTAAAATTTACTTAATAATTGATTAATCAAACAATCGATTAATCGAAATAACCGATTAATCAAATAATCGATTAATCAAATAAATAATCCGATTAATCAAATAATCGATTAATCGATTAATTTAATAGAATAATCAAACCCGATTATCGATTATCGTTTGATTATAATCGATTAATCGATTTTTTTGCCCAACGCTAGACAGAACAACATATGCAGCCGAGAATCAAACTGCATGCGGTACTCTCTCCACGGAATAGTTAATAAATGATGCATTGTGAAAATGTAAAATTGTCTCTGTATCGGTAATCAGCTATAAAATGCGTATTTGGTATTAAATTGTAATAACGATCTTTCGATGCGAGTTTGCCATTAACTCTCTAACCCAAAAATCTGATAAATTATAGCATACTTTCATTTGATTTGGGCAAAGTGGGGGTGCCAACTTTATCGACTTCTAGATCTGACCTGTAAGGTGGATGTGGTAATTTTGTGAAACCACGGTTAACAGGAGAGGAGAGCCTTGTGGACCTAGCAATTGTTGCATTTGTTGTTCGTCATGAGTTCGGTCGCTATTGCCTGAAAAGAGAAGTAAGATTTTTTCGTTAGAATGTGCTGGTACCTAATAATGAATAGCGTAACTACAGCAGTTTTCTATACAAATATTTAAATCATTATACTCTCTTTAAGTGGGCCCCAAACAACACAGAGGGTGCTTTAAAAAAAATGCAATTTGATTTGCATAATCACACGACAAGAAGATACAAAACACAAACGCAAGGTCGTTCACGGCTCCTTACAGACTGCTAGGTTAACAAAATTATAATTAGCTCTCTACCGCACATAACTTTAGGAGAATAATGAACCGCTTGTAACGTAACTTATGAAGTAAAAATCGCGTAATTATTGGCATGGGGGACTTTCAAAATTAAGGTCGTAAAATTGGTTCACAAGTGGCGACAGGGGCTTTTTGTTTGGGAGGACTCTCAGTAAAACTCTTGATTCCTTCACTTAATGAAATTCAATGTCATTACGAAGTGTGTTTGTTATACTTATAAGTTATAACGATCCTAGTGCCTATTCAAATAACAGGTAACTAAGACTTTGTAACTAACGAAATGTTATTACAGTAAAGACGCGATTTGACTTTTAGGACTTGGAATAGTTCAACCATATTTTCGTTTTTTTTATATTTTTCTCTGAAACGGTAGGGACATTTCGAATTAGAACAAGCAAAAGCTTTTATGGAGAATGGATTTTTGGCAAAAAGTATAGTAAAAGTTTTTCTTCTTGTAAAGTCAATCCGGGGACATACGGTATACCGATTTTTTTTTAATTTTTTAGCCGTTTATACCTAAATATACATTTGTACCCAATGTCTTACATTCGAGGGATGGTCTTTTGTAAATTGGTAATTGACAGGCTGATTCGAATTCGAGGGCCACCATGGGAATCTCGGGAAATGTAAGAGATAGGTAGGTGGTAAATTTGGCAAAGTTGTGTATTTTGATGCTTAACAAAAACAGTTTTGAAACTGAAATTCTGACTACTTTCGGAGATATCCGGAAAAAACGAGATTTTGAAAATCGTTTTTGTTTTTTATTGAAGTTAATAGTTATTTACAAAGATATTTAATAATAAATGACACATTATTATGGCCACTTTTTTCCCTCTACAAGATGCTACTTTTAAATTTGAAGTTTGACGTTTCGTCTCCGGTTAACTATCATCAACTTTGTTTCTTATGGAAGTAATTTTTACTTTTTGTGTGATTTGATAGAGAATTTTTTTCTGATTTCAAAAATGTACACATCAATGTTTTTAATGCTTGTAAAACATCTTTTTTGCCTTTGTCTTAAGTAACGTACGTAAGTAGTTTCTTGCGTTTTTACGAATTAACGTTATTTCTTATTAAAACTAGATGATGTTACCATCAAGGGTAACTTTGTCAAATGTAAACTACCTATCTCTTACAGTTCCCGAGATTCCCATGGTGGCCTTTGAATTTGAATCACCCTGTATAGGTCAACACATTACACTAAACAACTAAACTAATACTAATAATATGTAATAGGTTCGTGTGAGGCGGCGAGGCGGTCTATCAAAGGAAACGGTCAAAACTTCAAGGAACATTTGCGCCTCAACGGAAGGTCGGAAGAGGGGTCCATCAAAGGAAAGGTGTGAGGCGGCGAGGCGGTCTATCAAAGGGAAATTCAAAACTTCAAGGAACAGCGTCAAAACTTCAAGGAACATTTGCGCCTCAACGGAAAGTCGGAAGAGGGGTCCATCAAAGGAAAGGTGTGAGGCGGCGAGGCGGTCTATCAAAGGGAACGGTCAAAACTTCAAGGAACATTTGCGCCTCAACGGAAAGTCGGAAGAGGGGTCCATCAAAGGAAAGGTGTGAGGCGGCGAGGCGGTCTATCAAAGGAAACGGTCAAAACTTCAAGGAACATTAGCGCCTCAACGGAAAGTCGGAAGAGGGGTCCATCAAAGGAAAGGTGTGAGGCGGCGAGGCGGTCTATCAAAGGAAACGGTCAAAACTTCAAGGAACATTAGCGCCTCAACGGAAAGTCGGAAGAGGGGTCCATCAAAGGAAAGGTGTGAGGCGGCGAGGCGGTCTATCAAAGGAAACGGTCAAAACTTCAAGGAACATTTGCGCCTCAACGGAAGGTCGGAAGAGGGGTCCATCAAAGGAAAGGTGTGAGGCGGCGAGGCGGTCTATCAAAGGGAAAGGTCAAAACTTCAAGGAACATTTGCGCCTCAACGGAAAGTCGGAAGAGGGGTTCATCAAAGGAAAGGTGTGAGGCGGCGAGGCGGTCTATCAAAGGGAACGGTCAAAACTTCAAGGAACATTTGCGCCTCAACGGAAGGTCGGAAGAGGGGCCCATCAAAGGAAAGGTGTGAAGCGGCGAGGCGGTCTATCAAAGGGAACGGTCAAAACTTTAAGGAACATTTGCGCCTCAACGGAAGGTCGGAAGAGGGGTCCATCAAAGGAAAGGTGTGAAGCGGCGAGGCGGTCTATCAAAGGGAACGGTCAAAACTTCAAGGAACATTTGCGCCTCAACGGAAGGTCGGAAGAGGGGTCCATCAAAGGAAAGGTGTGAGGCGGCGAGGCGGTCTATCAAAGGGAACGGTCAAAACTTCAAAGAACATATGCGCCTCAACGGAATGTCGGAAGAGGGGTCCATCAAAGGAAAGGTGTGAGGCGGCGAGGCGGTCAATCAAGGGGACCTGTCAAAACTTCAAAGAACATTTGCGCCTCAACGGAATGTCGGAAGAGGGGTCCATCAAAGGAAAGGTGTGAGGCGGCGAGGCGGTCTATCAAAGGGACCGGACAAAACTTCAAACGAAATTTACGGTGGAACGTGACGACAGAAGTCGTTACCGATACAGAGGATGTGGTAGTTCCCGACAAGATTTTTCTGAGTGACTCAAAACTTCAAACGCGAATTGCGTGTAATCGGAACTTCAAATGTGGATACCGGCAATGGGAATTGATCTCAAGTAAAACAACGTGGCGGTTTAAACGAACGTATATTATACACAATATATACAGCGTCACTCGTCATTAAAGAATAACATATAATATACAGAATAAAATTTATACAGGATCAGATGACAAACTATTAAGGGCTGGCGGTACTCAAAGTGATGAGTTGCTCTAGGCCCCAATCTGTCTACTCTTAGGGTTGCTCCGGAAGCCCTCGCTTGTTGGATGATGCTAGTGATATTGGTGGACGCTTATATAGGTCAACTATCGCTAATCCTTAATGTAGTACGCTCCGTCTTTTGATTAAGGATATCAGCCCCCGCCCCCCGCCACGCTTCGAAATATTTGGGGACTGGTGGCTGAGCGTACATGCTTGACTTCGCCATGGGTTGGCCGGATGCTGAATGTTGTAGTGGCGGAATGTTCTAATGTGGCTTGGTTGCGTGAGCTTGATGGAGGGTCTTGGTGGTGGGTCTGGTGCTCTTCGATCTGATGGCGGTGGCATTTTCCATGCGGCCTGGGTGCTGGTCGTAAGTAATGGATGTGGACCTTCACCTTTTTAATTTAGAAAATAAATTGTAGACATTACAATTAAATTAACAAAAAATAAAAAAGTTGGGTACTTGGTCCTCGCGTATGCAGGTGAAATCGTGCCATTCTATGAGGGCGTAGAAAATTAAGAAGTGGTATTTAATTAATTTTGATAAAAGTATGACAATGTGTGGAACAAAGCGATAAATTTCCTCATTTATTTGGCTTTAAAAACAGAACATGTATAATCAGAAGGAACCTTGAGGGATTGCGACACTTGCCCATAGTGACAAATTAGAATTTTGAACGAACCTTTTCAATCATTTGTAAAATCATTCATAATCATAATGTAGCAAATTCCTTTTCACTAGGTATACTTACTTCAAGAAATGTCGAGAGAAATGTGTACCTACCTACTTTGATAGAAACAGTATCATTTCGTCTATAGGTCATTGAAGTCAGATTGGTGTCATCAGGCTAGATGTCATCGATTATTGGTATCAACGAACTTGACATTGTACATTGTAATTTAAAAATCGATGTGTCGATTAATCGATTGCAAAATGCGAACAACTGTCTTCAGGTTCATAAAATAAGTCATGAATGAGGAAATCAGTTGCAAAAATATCAATTCATTGCAGTAATGATACGCGATACCGACGTCACAGTGTGATTTCTGTTAGTACTTATCACGTTTCATGCAGATACTGTAACTAATATCTAATGATAAAATTTTGCACGGTCGAATACTCAACCAAGTACATTTGAAATTAAAAAACATTTGACGTCTTTTTGTTGTTTACGACTCGTGTACATAATTAATTTTGCGAATGCCAATTAATATTGCGCGTAGTTTGATGCAAACTTATGGACAATAGAGTAGGTACCTAATTTTGGTAATCGTTGCTGGGGGAAAAACCAAATTCTGGACCACGGCCTCCCATTTACAAAATAAGTACACAGATTGTTACCTAACGCGAATTGTTTGCAAACTTTGGTTTTGCCTCTCGAATCATAGAATTTTGGGGTTGGGCAAAACTTCACAGCAGCCCTCGCCCTTCGCGTTTAGTTGCAGAGAAGTGGCAAACAACCTAAAACCTATTTTTTGTGTGGAACTAAATTGTATGTACAAACTGTTACAATGTGTAACACATATTTGTCTTGTGGTTACCTAATGCAATTATATCAATTCCTTCGTGAACCCTACGCAATACTGATATTTTGGTACCTATGATTGTAGATTATATGTTATTGGATACCAACAAATTTTGCAACAAAAAATAAACGCTTATTTGTTGCCAAAAATACTTTCTAACCGAATGATAAAAAAAATTCCCGCATAAACAAATATAAAAAATTAAATAAATAAAACGGCTAGATACTGTTACCAAGCCAATTCAATATCTAAGATACAGAAAATAATTAACATTACTCAACGAAATTTGATAAGTTTAAAACCCCACTAATCCAATTTGACAAGGCAATTACAAGAACAGTTTCATCAGTGTACCTATATAATTCACTCGCTTCGCTCGGCCTGCACATACCCGGTGGAAAAAATGGCCCAGTTGCAGACTTTAACAAATTCGCAAATCGAACCGATACGGTTCACTTCCCGGGTGAAATTATCGACGTCGCTTCCCGGTGAACGCATCATTACCTTGGAGGAGGTGTCCTGGCACGATAACATTTCGGACTGTTGGATTGTCATTTATGATCGAGTGTATGATGTTACTGACTTTTTGAGAGAGGTAAGTTCGCTTGACGTTTTTGTTATTTAGAAATTGCACTTTATTGTACCTAGCACCCGGGAGGCCACGATGTCCTTTTGGACTATGCAGGCCGAGATGGCACGTGCGCGTTTCGTGGTTCTGGTCATAGCAAAGCAGCGTGCGAAGCCCTAAAGGAATACCTGATCGGGGAATTGCCCATGACAGAGCGCCTATTTAGAAAACCAGATGGATTGAAGTTGATCGACATTCCGAAGTAAATCACAATAATAGACTCAGTATTAATGCTATCGTACCAGTATTGAACATGTTATATTTATTTCTTCAGCTCAATCTGTAGCCATTTCATTCCAATAAGTATCCACTACCTATCATTAGTATTTGTAGATGTACTATTACCTCGCAAAATAGCATGAACTGCTATAAAATTAATAAAAATAAGTCTTTTTTAATGTTGTACATTTATTGAATTACCTACCCATCATTCGCTCTGTCTTTTATGTAGTGGGTAGATAGGGGCGGAATAAGGCATGCGTATCTATATTGACGAGATTACCTAAACGTAAAACCATTAGATTACCTTTTGCAAAGGAAACCAACTAATTTCCTAAATCCTCCTGCAGCCACAAGAATGCAAAACACGCCAACTATCTTGTGTGTTGACAAAGTAAAGATACACACAAATGTACAGTAGCTGAAAGCCTCAATGCCTGCCTCCAACAAAATTTTTCAGGCTTGAATAATATTATGGTCCTTATCACAAACTTCGTCTCAAACTCACATTTGCACCAAAAGTTACAGCCCTTTGAATTTTCTGTCGAAATTGGTTTCTAGTTTATAACTTTTGATTGAGAAGGCTGATCGAAAAAGTACTAATTGTTTTGGATTCTACGCCCCAAAATTAATAAGAAAAAGTGTTTTGCCGAGAAATTTTGGTGTAGTCGATTTTTGGTAAAAAAAACCTTCTTTTGGTCCGAAAAAAATTGTCTCACATCGACCCGAAAAAAAATTTTCTTATAGGTAGAATGGGGCCTGTAGAATCCATAATTTTAAACAGTTCCAAGATTGGGCTACTAATTCAAAAGTTACAGCCCTTTGAATTTTCTTTCGAAATTGGTTGCTAGTCTATAACTTTTGATTGAGAAGTCTGAATAAATGGCAGTTCAAAATGTACGGAGTCTTGCAAGATCTGTAGAGCAATAGTAGTTTAAAGGCCCGGTTTTTGAATAGATAGATTAAATACAATAAGTACTAGTGCGCCATCTCTATGGTAATCGATACACTTTCTATAAATTATAGTTTTAGAAGTCTAGTTGAGATGTCGCCACGTACGCACCTTCTTTTAAAATTCTATTTGAATTTATGCGATTAATAGCAACGTTGCACTTATTATTCCTTAAATGCGGTGCCGTTTTTAAGTTTTTCGGGGCCCTGGGCCATTCGTTCGTGGAGGCCCTCCTTACCCTCAATAAAAACGGCAGATTAGGGAGATTCAAGCAAATCCCTAATTTGAAAATGGGCACTCGATATTTGTGTAGCCTGGTTTGTAGGCAACACATCATGCTCAATGAACAGAAAACATTTATATTTGCAATTTGTAACTTCTTATGCATAGGAGTTTATTTAAAGCCCTTGGAAGAACAATTTCAATAACAGGTACATTAAACTGAACCGTTTTGCAACATAATTCACACGAAGATTGCACAAACAACACATAACTATAAATAAACAAACATTCATTATGCATTTGAGGTTAAAACTTCATATTTCTATGGTTTTTAAAAACATCGCTCTGACATCTAACGTTAGTTTCATAAAGTACATTACAAAATTAAAGTCACTATATCTAGTGACTTTATACAAAATATGTGTGTGGCGACATCTTTGAGGTGTAAGTTCCAACTAAAATAATTGTGGTAATAAAGTGTCCTGCATTTAGCGATAAAATGTTACTCCCCAATAATAAAGACAGATGTCAGCACAATGTATTCTGCTTAGATGATTTTAGAAATAGGCTACTAGTTCAAAAGTTACAGCCCTTTGAATTTTCTGTCGAAATTGGTTTCTAGTCTATACCTTTTGATTGAGAAGTTTAATCGAAAAAGTACGAATTGTTTTGGATTCTACGCCCCAAAATTAATAAGAAAAAATGTTTTGCCGAGAAATTTTGGTGCAGTCGATTTTTGGTAAAAAAGGAAGGTTATACACTGCCTTTTTTTTGGCCCGAAGAAAAAATTGTCTCAGATCGACCCGAAAAAAAATTTTCTTATAGAATGGGGCCTGTAGAATCCATACTTTCAAACAGTTCCAAGATTGGGCTACTAGTTCAAAAGTTACAGGCCTTTGAAGGGGTAGTAATGTCGTATGCACATCCCGCAGCATACTAAAACGTGCTGCACCCTCATTGGTCCAAACGGCCAACCGATGAGAGCCTACCTATAGAGTCCCTGGCCGCAAACGTGAGCTCCGAAATCATCGTCTGGAAGGTAGTCAACATAGTCGCCATAGGGAAGGGAGTCCGCGTCATCGCCGATAGCTCGGAAGAGTTCCGCGTGGTTCAGGACAAGGATTCAACACTGCAACACCTTCTTCGTTACCCTGAAGAACCTGCCGGGCTTTGAGCACCAGCCGCCAACTACGTACCGCAGTGTTTCGCTTGCCACTCGAGCGTCAACTGCGGCTTTGCACTCCAAAGCGTTCGTTGCGCCAAAAACCACCTGGCACCTGACTACAGGAGAAGGCCACTTGCGCAAACTATTCCGGAGCCCACCGCGCAAACTACCGGAGATGGCCAGCTTCAGCTTACCTTGCAGCGGCGAACAAGCGTCACAGGCGCACCAAGGAACCACTTTTGGCCACCGGCACAGCAGCGCCCCAGCGGCAAGCCTCTACTGTCGACCCTGTTTAAAATAACACACGTCGTGAAATCCGTTAAATATACGCTCGTCTGCCACTGGCCTTAGTTACAATAAAATTCGTACAAGTGCGCCATCTCCTTGTTAATCGATACACTTTTTTCATTTTATAGTTTTACAAGTTTAGTTGAGATGTCGCCACTTACGTAACTTCTTTGGAAATTATATTTGAATTTATGCGATTAATAGCCTCGTTGCACTTAATTTTCCTTAAATGGCAGTACAAAATGTACGCAGTCTTGCAAGATCTATAAAGCAATTGTAGTATAATGCCCCGGTTTTTGAATAGTTAGTTTAAATACAATACAGTGACTTTACAATAAGTACAAGTGCGCCATCTCCTTGTTAATCGATACACTTTCTTCATTTTATAGTTTTACAAGTTTAGTTGAGATGTCGCCACTTACGTAACTTTTATCGAAATTATATTTGAATTTATGCAATTAATAGCCTCGTTGCAAAGGGCTGTAACTTTTGATCCAGTAGCCCGATCATGGAACTGTTTGAAATTATGGATTCTACAGAGGCCACATTCTATAAGAAAATATTTTTTTCCGTTCGATCTGAGACAATTTTTTTTCAGGCCAAAAAAAAGGCAGTGTACAACCTTCCTTTTTTACCAAAAATCGACTGCACCAAAATTTCTCGGGGAAACACTTTTTCTTATTAATTTTGGGGCGTAGAATCCAAAACAATTCGTACTTTTTCGATTAGACTTCTCAAAAAATTATAGAAACCAATTTCGACTAAAAATTCAAAGGGCTGTAACTTTTGATCCAGTAGCCCGATCTTGGAACTGTTTGAAATTATGGATTCTACAGGCCTCATTCTATACAAAATTATGGCAACATCTAACTCCTCATCCAGGTCGATGGTTTGCTGCAACTGAACGCTGGTGTGACAAAAACAACCTGTTTTATTGTCGTCCCTCACGTAGAGAGATCGCCCAACGCCATCCCTTGTACTTCCGAAGACGAGAACCCTGAATGGCAGTCAGTCAAGAAAAAAAGGGAGAGGACGTCACGACGCACCAACCTTCAACAACCACCACCTGGATTGCGCGCCCATTACCAACACACCACCTCAGCACAACATTTTAGGTGCAACAACGTTGGTTTCGCACTTAGTGTAGACGAGAACCGTTGCCATTCTTTATCGCTCTTACAGGAATCTGCAACCTGTACGAAACATTTGAAACGTTCTGTATGTTTGGATTTGACGCATATGTTGCTATCTTCGTTCAACACACCTGATCCAATTCGTTTGTTTATATTTAAAGAAAAACCTTCCAAAATATATTAATAACTCAGTTTTATGATGTAAAAACGTTTGCATGAAGATGAGCATCATCAAAGTGAGTGAATTATACCTGAAGGTTAATAAATCACCGAACTTTTTAGGATGAAATTAGTACAAATGCGCTTGGTGAATGCTCAAATGATCGAAGACTGTGGATAGGCAACTTAGATCCGAGAATAACTGAGTAAGTATACAGTAATGCGGTTGTTAACAAATGAGACTTACGCAATGCTTTTCCCTCTACTGGTACCAACTATTAAAACTAATGCAAAAACATGGTGCCATTGAAAAATTCGATCTTTTATTTCATCGTGCGGGTCCTACGGCCGGACAGCCAAGGGGGTATGCGTTTGTGACGTTTAGTAATAAGGACGATGCAACTTTAGCCAAAGAACAACTCCACAACAAGCAAGTCGGAACCAAAAATATTATAGTCACATGGGCACACAGTATTACGACCGTAAGTCGACCGGATTTCTATGCACTTCAGAATATGCTTGCTTAAAGTGTAAATGCCAAAGTATTCAAAAATAAGTTTTAGGAGACGCATTTATGCAATTGCATAGAAATCCTACTTGTAGTATTCATTGCGAAAAAAATGTAAAGATGTTTTGTAGGAGGAACCGGAGAAGGCAAAAACCAGCATAAACATCCCGGCGTTGGCTATGGCTAAATTGGAAAAGAAAGTCAATCGAGAATCTCAAATCGAAGCGATCGAGGCCAAGCTGAAATTAATGGAGAATAGAAACGTCGACGAATTGGAGATAAACAAAACGGTCGCAGCCGAACCCCCAATCATATCTCTATACCAAAATAAAAAAGCCGACTCGTCAATAAATAATTGTAATGGTACAAAACATAGGTATAATTTAAAGCGGAATGATAGACGCCGAGCACCTTATCACAAACACAGTTTACGAAAGTAACTTCATATAATTTATATCGTCATTGTAAAAATAAATCTTTTATCGATTAGCCTTTTATAAAATGTATGAGAAGTGATATTATTAATACCACAAATGCGATCACTAGACCCATTATGTACTTCTTCCTATTGGTGGAACTGGCCAGGATATCATCGCAGTCGGCTTCTGGTCCCTCGAGGGTCATCTCGGGTATATCTAAAATGTCATTGATTATAATGTGAGATCGGTAAAACTGCATTTATAAACGGATAGTATGGCTTATAGGCAACACACAATGCAAATGACTCCTCTGAGTGAAAATAACTTTAGCAA